AAAAAAAAAAAAAAAAAAAAAAAACGACTCTTCTTCTCTCATCCTCATTTCCTTTCGTCTTATCAAACAATCAAAAAGTGAAACAACGTTACAATTCCAATCCTTTCGACTTTATTCTTATTCCCCTTCCACCGTTGTAAAACTCTAAAAATATTCTACGATTCCGCCACTCTGAAATATTCTTCGTTCAAGAAAAACATCGCTGTGAAACTTGTGCGAAATTCCACGATAAAATTCCGCTTATTGCATAAATAATAAAAAGGGCATGGATCATATTCCACCGTACCTGATACCGCTGTCGGCGATGTAGGGGACGTGGGGAGCGATCTGGGTAGCATAAAATCGTCGGATGCCAATCCTTGCACGCCATCTTCCAACGATACGCTCCTTTTGCGGAACAGTCCTCGCCTGATGAGATTCTCGTGAAACTCCTGCAACGTGTTGTACGTATGGATATCGACGAACGTGCTGGTGATACGCTTCGAAGGAATAAATTCTCAATCGTAAGAAGAATTTTTTCTTTTCTTTCTTTTTTTTCTCTCTTATGCTTTCCGTATTCGCGATTTTTTTCGAAGAGGGGAAAAAAGGAGATGTTCGAGTTGGTTATCGATTTCTAGTCTCTTCGAGTTTTCGAGGCTCGAAAGTCGCTCGAAAGGGAGGCCGATGGCGGGCTTCTGAGTAGCCCTCTGGCGGAATTCGCGAACTCGTCGAGAAATTTTTTTTTGTCAGACGTGTACGACAGAGAAAGGACTGTCTGAAGACTGTATAATGGTAGATGGATCTTCAGTTTGTGAGAATTTTACGACGATGTGGAAAATGTTTTTTTTTTTTTCACTGTTTTATGATTGGAACTTCGGGATAGTTTTTAACATGTTTTCAGTCGGTTTTTATTTTCTCAGTGAGAAATAAGAAGAAAGGGAAGGCTTAAGAGATGGAAGTTTTGAAAAACTTTGATTTTCATTTTTTCACTTCTTGTGTTATTTAATACGTGTATTTTGCATAATAAAATTTTTTCATGAAAGATATTTTTGTAATTGAGAATATGATTCAACTGGGAAATGCTGAAGAAAAAAAAATATGTAGAAAAATAAATAGAAAGAGTAGAGGAAATAAAAGAAAAATTAAAAGAAACAAATGAACACAGTTGCTCGTACTAACAGAGGAAAATAGGTGAAAGTAGAATAAAATGCGTTATTAAAGACATTTTTTCTGCTAAAAAAAAAAATTAGAAACAAAAGAAGACTTTAAGACTTTAAAAGTCTTAAAGAAACGTTGAATTATCAGAAAATAAGATTTTTTTCATCTTTTTAATTCTCATAGAACCAAAGTGAGGAATAATTGTGATTATTCGAAAAAGATATGCAAAAGATATCAAATATTAATGTCGAATATTTTATATTTTATATGCAGGATGCATATAAGTCCAGTTAAAGAAAAAAGAAATAATAAAATTGCATTTTTTAAAAAAATTCTTCAAACCTGAACAAATTAGATAAACGTGTCACACTAAATTTTAACTTCTAAATGTAAAATTATTCGTATAAAAAGGATTAAATTATGATAAAAGAAAATCAATTTTTTTTACAATCGCAATACATTATCAACGATAAGTTAAATTCTGACGATTTAAACGATGAGACGAATTTATTTTTAACTTTAATGAATAAGATTATACGAGACTACGACAGTATAAATGAGCAAACGAGATTCAACCTTTTTAAAATAAATGGTTGATTTACGGAGAGACTGTCTGATTCGTTTATAACGTCGATAACGATTTCCATTTTCGGCTTTTTTTAACCTGCTACTTTAAACTGGATCAAGGATGTGTAAAAAAAAAAAAAAAAAAAAAAAAAAAAAAAAAAAAAAAAAAAAAGAAAAAAAAGAAAGAAAAGGAAACGAATAATTCACAAACGAAGAGTTAAAACTGGGCGAAAATTTTTCAATTCGAGGCAATTAAGGCCTCGAAAGAAAGTTTTCGAATGTGCTTAAATTCAGGATGCATTGCACACGATGTTAACTTAAAAAACTTGGGAGGCAGCCGGGGTCAGAGAAATCCGGGCTTCGAAATTTAATTCAACTTCAAGAGCATCGAACTTTCGCCTCGTGACTTTCGGAAAAATATCTTTTTATCGAATATCGAATATTTGCACATTCTTAACTCAAACACCGCTGTCCTTTAAAATTAAACGAGTAATACGAGATTGAAATTTTACCTTCTACGCTTTTCACGGAAGTTATATACGGAGGAAGGAATATTCGATAAATTATTAAAAATTAAAAACATTGGAGGAAAACATTAAACCTTTAAATTATATGCATCAAATTAATATAAGATAAATTACTGTTTAAAATAAAACGGCATGTCCGAATCCATCCACAATAATAACGTTATCAATGTTCGAGAAGTGAACGGGATTATTTGAAAAGTTTGATATATAGAGATCGCAAGAATTCCAACAGTAGCAGGAATACGGATTGCGCCGAGTCAGCGATTTAAAATGCTTCTCGAGCAGCAAATCTCGCCGTTTTCATAATGCGTTGTGCTCCCAATGCAACGGGGGACGAAAAAACGCGTTCGAATTCCTGTTCGGGGCACATTTTCGAGTTTAATTAAACTTATATCCGATATATTATTGCGCCAATTTAGAAGAAAAGAAATAATAATAATTATAACTATTTTTCAATTTATCCTTTTCTATCACTAACTGGAAAAAAGAAGAAAAAGGAAAACAAATATCGAAAGAAAGATGGAAGGGGAGGACAAAGAAAGAGAAGGGATTAAACTTATATCGATATATTATTGCGCGAATTTAAAAGAAAAGAAAAGAAAAAATAATAATTATAACGATTTTTAAATTTATCCCTTTCTATCACTAACTAAAAAAAAAAGAAAAAGAAAAAACAAATATCGAAAAAGAGATGGAAGGGGAGGACAAAGAAAGAGAAGGGATTAAGCTTATATCGATATATTATTGCGCGAATTTAAAAGAAAAGAAAAGAAAAAATAATAATTATAACGATTTTTAAATTTATCCCTTTCTATCACTAACTAAAAAAAAAAAAGAAAAAGAAAAAACAAATATCGAAAAAGAGATGGAAGGGGAGGACAAAGAAAGAGAAGAA